TTATAACAATTTATATAGCAGTGCTCGATGGCAGCCCGCTTGCTATCTACAGACACGTACACTACACAGCCTGGTTACTAAGTTAACCACTAAAGGACATCCGCCCCCCCAACCACGAGCCTTGTGGCTCAAACGCCGAAACTCCCACAAAGCCAGACCCACCTCGCGAAAACGGTGACGCGGGATAAGGGGAAGAAACCATCGAGGCCCCGCTAAACCCCAGAGTCGTCGGACGCTGTTCGGAGGCCACGCAGCGCAAATGAAATAAGAAAAGCACCACCCGGGAGGTGGCAGGGTGTCTTAAGGCCGACAAGCCAGAGATGCGCCTGCCCGAGACCAGACGCAGAAAGTTAGCGGCACCGCAATCCGCTATACAGCGGTCCACAAGCGCAAAAGAGTGAAACGGGTGCAGGTCTCCGAACCCTAAGGTCCGAGGGTGTCAATTCACCAATAAATCCTCCAAAAGGAGGAATAACCCCACCCGAGGCGATTATCTGACCCCCGAAGGGTCCCGGGTGAAGCCAAATGCCGTAGGGTTGTACTTCATAAAAGATGCAATATCCCCAAGAAAGCGGGGGTAATGCACGGAGTAGCGATCGTGACAGCGAAAGAGAATATGCTGATGGGACTGCAGAGCAGCCCCGCAAGTGCAGCCATGAGGCTTGTTGATCTTGAAGCGACGGTAATACGCTCCAATGGGCGCGTGGCCAGTTATACACCGGCAAACGCAGGCAAACTCAGTGATACTGTGTCCGAATGTTGAAAGCCAAGGTCCCCCATTGAGGTACGATGGCTGTAGCGGCCGCCTGTCAGGCTGTTGAAGCTCTAGGAATTCAGAGCCTCGGTAGGTTGGATCTTGGAAAGTGGAACCCCACGAATCCAAGACTGAGTGCGCAGCTTGAGAGCGAAGCACGTCTATAGAGTTGTCTGTCTTGCGACATCCAACCCTGACTTTAAGTTCGGTGACATACTTGTGTGCCTCACCATGGATATCCCACCACAAAGCAGATGGAACGTAAACGAAGGTGATGCGGCGGAGATCATCCGCCTCAAACCACTCTTGAAGAGTGCGACAAACTGATAAGCTGAAAGCCTGACCAGAATGCAAGCCGGGGTCTCTGGTCGCGAGTATGATGCCTCAGTATTAGATGAGCTTCCCGATGAGCCGGTCTGTGAGTGGGCTGACTTCTCGGAGCACGAGTTGTTGAGCGCCCTTAAGGGGTGTTCCAACTCCTCTGCACCAGGACCGGACCATGTTACATGGGTCCACCTAAAGGAGTTGCTCAAGGACAAACACGTCCTTGCGCTCTTCATCGTGTTGGCTAATGCATGCCTTCGGGTGGGTCATTGGCCACGTATATTCAAGGAGTCGCTATCGGTTATCGTTCCGAAACCGAATAAGCCCTCCTACGCTGTTCCGAAGGCTTTCAGGCCGATCGTACTCCTCATCACCTTTGGTAAACTTATCGAAAAGATGATTGCCAATAGGATACAGTTTGACGCCGTCAAGCATGATATCTTCCATCCCAACCAACTAGGCGGTATACGCCAGAGGTCAACTGAGGATGCTGGATTGATTCTGACTCATCTCGTGCAAGCGGGGTGGGTTAAGGGTCTCCAGACTAGCGCGCTGGCTTTTGACATCGCGCAGTTCTTCCCTTCTATCAACCATGAGATGTTCATGGCTGTTCTTCGCAAGCAGGGGTTTTCGCCGGTTTTGGTGGAGTTCTTTGCTTCTTACCTTGTTGGACGTTCCACAGTTTACTGTTGGAACACCTTCCAATCCGACTCACGTTCTGCGGACGTGGGTGTCGGGCAGGGCTCTGCTCTCTCGCCTGTTATCTCTGGGCTGTTCATTGCTCCGGTGATGAAGCTCTTCTACATCAAAGCAGCGCCGCTCAACATGACGCTGCTGTCCTTTGTGGATGATGGGACCATTCTGGCCCAATCCAAACAACTTGATGATAATAACGTGGGCCTGCGTAAGGCCTACAAGATTATCTACCTTCTCTTTGTTGCTTTCGCACTCGTCCTTGAACACGACAAGACCGAGCTGTTCCACTTTTCGTGTTGACGAGACGCCTACAATCCCTCACTGGATTTGGGGTATGCCCCACACACCGGTGCTACACCTTTGAAGCCCAAGACCTATTGGAGGTACTTGGGCTTCTACTTTGACCGCAGGCTCACATTTCATGAGAACGTTCACTACTACGCCACCAAGGCGTTTACCACTGTGCAGGCCATGCGCATGCTCGGGAACTCTACCAGAGGACTCTCGCCTAAACAGCGACGACTCTTGTATCGGTCGTGTGTGGTTCCCATCGCCACCTACGGCTATTGTCTCTGGTATTTTGATGGCGCCCGCAATAAGGGCGCAATGAACCAGTTGAAACGGATGCAGCGAAAAGCTGCTCTATGGATTACGGGTGCTTTCCGCACCTCCCCCACCGGCGGTCTTGAGGCTCTAGCAGGTCTCATCCCTGTCCACCTTATGCTGAAGAAGTTGGCAACGCGCGCAGTGTATCACGTTGCCACCCTCTCAGACACCCACCCTCTTCGCTCCATGATGGGCGAGGGACTCCTCAAGCGAGCCGCACCACATGCTCGCTCAGCCGCCTTGATGACCCCAGCCATGCGAGGGAAAGTCAAGAGCACTGTCATGGAGGTGGACGAGCGTGTCCACACCTTAACTGAGAGCTTCGAGCCTTTTGCGCCCGAAGCTCGCCCAGGCGATTGGTTACTGGACCACTATGCGGACCGTCTCCACTTTGACGAGCGCGATCCTACCCAGGATAGGCGTCTGTATCTAGACGAGCTCATCGCGAGAGCGAGGGCCGACCCACTAACAGTACTGGCTGCAACTGATGGCTCTGTCCCTCAGTCCAACCAGTATCAGGCAGCTTTGGCTGCTATAATCTACAAGGGACATCGCGAGCTCGAAAGGACTCGCTATGTCTCTGGCAGAGTTACCGCCCCAGATGCGGAACTCAATGCCATCTCGTGCGCAGTGCGCCTTGCTGTTAAGCAGGCAAACTGCCAACATATCATGGTATTTACTGACTCTATGGGCTCAGCCCATAGAGCGGTCGACCCCGGCGTGCATTCTGGTCAGGCTTTCAGCCTGTCAGTTTGTCGCACTCTTCAAGAGTGGTTTGAGGCGGATGATCTCCGTCGCGTTACCTTCGTCTATGTCCCATCTGCTTTGCGGTGGGATATCCATGGTGAAGCACATAAGTACGTCACCGAACTCAAAGTCAGGGTTGGACGTCGCAAGACGGACAACTCTATAGACGCGCTTCGCTCCCGAGCAGCGCACTCAGTCCTGGATTCGTGGGGCTCCACTTTCCAGGATCCAACCTACCGAGGCTCTGAATTCTTAGAGCTTCAACAGCCTGGCGGGCGGCCGCTACAGCCATCGTACCTCAATGGGGGACCTTGGCTCTCAACTTTCGGACACAGTATCACTGAGTTCACCCGCATGTGCCAGTGTATAACTGGCCATGCACGCATTGGAGCGTATTATCGTCACTTCAAAATCAACAAGCCTCACGGCTGCACTTGCGGGGCTGCTTTGCAGTCTTGCCAGCATATTCTCTTTTGCTGCCGCGATCGCTACTCCGTGCATTACCCCCGCTTTCTTGGGGACATTGCAGCTTTTATGAAGTACAACCCTATGGTGTTTGGCTTCACCCGGGACCCTTCGGGGGTCGGATAATCGCCTCGGGCGGGGTTATTCCTCCTTTTGGAGGATTTATCGGTGAATTGACACCCTCGGACCTTAGGGTCCGGAGACCTGCGCCCGTTTCACTCTTCTGCGCATGCGGCCGCTATTATAGCGTGTCGCGGCGCCGCTAACTTTCTGCGTCTGGTCTGGGGCAGGCGCTTCTCTGGCTGGTCGGCCTCAAGACACCCTGCCACCTCCCGGGTGGTGCGATTCTTATCTCATCTGCGCTGCGTGGCCTCCAAACAGCGTCCGACGGCTTTGGGGTTTAGTGGGGCCTCGATGGTCTCTTCCCCTTATCCCGCGTCACCGTTTTCGCAAGGTGGGTCTGGCTTTGTGGGAGTTTTGGTGTTTGAGCCACAAGGCTCGTGGTTGGGGGGGCGGACGTCCTTTAGTGGTTAACTTAGTAACCAGGCTGTGTAGCGTACGTGTCTGTAGATAGCGAGCGGGCTGCCATCGAGCACCGCTATATAAATTGTTGATAAAACGAACTAAAACCAGAATGCACGCCGGGGTCAACCGCTCTATGGGCTGAGCCCATAGAGTCAGTAAATACCATGATATGTTGGCAGTTTGCCTGCTTAACAGCAAGGCGCACTGCGCACGAGATGGCATTGAGTTCTGCATCTGGGGCGGTAACTCTGCCAGAGACATAGCGAGTCCTTTCGAGCTCGCGATGTCCCTTGTAGATTATAGCAGCCAAAGCTGCCTGATACTGGTTGGACTGAGGGACAGAGCCATCAGTTGCAGCCAGTACTGTTAGTGGGTCGGCCCTCGCTCTCGCGATGAGCTCGTCTAGATACAGACGCCTATCCTGGGTAGGATCACGCTTGTCAAAGTGGAGACGGTCCGCATAGTGGTCCAGTAACCAATCGCCTGGGCGAGCTTCGGGCGCAAAAGGCTCGAAGCTCTCAGTTAAGGTGTGGACACGCTCGTCCACCTCCATGACAGTGCTCTTGACTTTCCCTCGCATGGCTGGGGTCATCAAGGCGGCTGAGCGAGCATGTGGTGCGGCTCGCTTAAGGAGTCCCTCGCCCATCATAGAGCGAAGAGGGTGAGTGTCTGAGAGGGTAGTGACGCGATACACTGCGCGTGTTGCCAACTTCTTCAGCATAAGATGGACAGGGATGAGACCCGCTAGAGCCTTGAGACCGCCGGTGGGGGAGGTGCGGAAAGCACCCGTAATCCATAGAGCAGCTTTTCGCTGCATCCGTTTCAACTGGTTCATCGCGCCCTTATTACGGGCGCCATCAAAATACCAGAGACGATAGCCGTATGTGGCAATGGGGACCACACACGACCTATATAAGAGGCGGCGCTGTTTAGGTGAGAGCCCTCTAGTAGAGTTCCCGAGCATGCGCATGGCCTGCACGGTGGTAAACGCCTTGGTGGCGTAGTAGTGAACGTTCTCATGAAATGTGAGCCTGCGGTCAAAGTAGAAGCCCAAGTACCGCCAATAGGTCTTGGGTGAAAGTCAGAGGTATTATCCATAATATGTTTATGAATCTCCTGAGGTGACAAAGAATCTTTGATCCAGAGAAGGAGATGAAGATGCAGAGTAAGGTGTCCCTGCTGTTTGACAGTTCCATAGTAGCCATTGGTTTTTCCATACAGTCCAGGATGTCTTGTACTGACTCCCAGAACATGCTTGATAAAATTCTTGCACATGAAATGAAAGAAGCGTGCAGCTGCAACTGGGTTGCTAGCAATGAGGCGGTATGCATCATCAGGCAAGGGAATTTCTGGCTTGAATTCAATATTACAGTCTGCAAAATACAAGCATATCGGATGCTTATTGTCAGCTGGAGACAGAGTAATGAACCAGGATGGACAACCCATGTAGGAGATGAGCAACCATATTTCATTGCGCATGTGCTTTTTGCTAGCCAGTGAGCCTTCAACATGTCTGCCTACACAGTCCAGGTCATTAATAAGCTGAAAGCAAGCCTTCTCGGCCTCTGATTCTGGTTTGACTCTCTCACCTTGAGACAACCGCTTTTTTTTTATTTTTTATTTTTTTATCAACAATTTATATAGCAGTGCTCGATGGCAGCCCGCTTGCTATCTACAGACACGTACACTACACAGCCTGGTTCTAAAAACGTAATCAACCACGAGCCTTGTGGCTCAAACGCCGAAACTCCCACAAAGCCAGACCCACCTCGCGAAAACGGTGACGCGGGATAAGGGGAAGAGACCATCGAGGCCCCACTAAACCCCAAAGTCGTCGAACGCTGTTCGGAGGCCACGCAGCGCAAATGAAATAAAATAGCACCATCCGGGAGGTGGCAAGGTGTCTTAAGGCCGACAAGCCAGAGGGGCGCCTGCCCGAAACCAGACACAGAGCATTAGCGGCGCTGCAACCCGCTACAATAGTGGCCGCAAGCGCAAAGAAATAGCGGTAGGCGCAGGTCTTCGAACCCTAGGGCTCGGTGGTGTCAATTCACCATAAATCCCCCAAAAGGAGGAACAACCCCACCCACCGCGATTATCCGACACCCGAAGTGTCCCGGTTGAAGCCGAATGCCGTAGGGTTGTACTTCATGAAAGCTGCAATATCCCCAAGAAAGCGGGGGTAATGCATGGAGTAGCGATCGCGACAGCGAAAGAGAATATGCTGGCGGACTGCAAAGCAGCCCCGCAAGTGCAGCCGTGAGGCTCGTTGATCTTGAAACGACGGTAATACGCTCCAATGGGCGCGTGGCCAGTTATACACTGGCAAACGCGAGCAAACTCAGTGATACTGTGTCCGAATGTTGAAAGCCAAGGTCCCCCATTGAGGTACGATGGCTGTAGCAGCCGCCCGTCAGGCTGTTGAAGCTCTAAGAATTCAGAGCCTCGGTAGGTTGGGTCTTGGAAAGTGGAGCTCCACGAATCCAGGGCTGAGTGTGCAGCTGGTGAGCGAAGCGCGTCTATAGAGTTGTCCGTCTTACGACGTCCAACCCTGACTTTGAGTTCGGTGACGTACTTGTGTGCTTCACCATGGATATCCCACCGCATAGCGGATGGGACGTAGACGAAGGTAATGCGGCGGAGATCATCCGCCTCAAACCACTCTTGAAGAGTGCGACAGACTGACAGGCTAAAAGCCTGACCAGCATGCACACCAGGGTCAACCGCTCTATGGGCCGAGCCCATAGAGTCAGTAAAGACCATAATATGTTGGCAGTTTGCCTGCTTAACAGCAAGGCGCACTGCGCACGAGATGGCATTGAGTTCCGCATCTGGGGCGGTAACTCTGCCAGAGACATAGCGAGTCCTTTCGAGCTCGCGATGTCCCTTGTAGATTATAGCAGCCGAAGCCGCCTGATACTGATTGGACTGAGGGACAGAGCCATCAGTTGCAGCCAGTACTGTTAGAGGGTCAGCCCTCGCTTTCGCGATGGGCTCGTCTAGATACAGGCGCCTATCCTGGCCAGGATCACGCTCATCAAAGTGGAGACGGTCCGCATAGCGGTCCAATAACCGATCACCTGGGCGAGCTTCAGGTGCAAAGGGCTCGAAGCTCTCAGTTAAGGTGTGGACGCGCTCGTCCACCTCCATGACAGTGCTCTTGACTTTCCCTCGCATGGCTGGGGTCATCAAGGCGGCAGAGCGAGCGTGTGGTGCGGCTCGCTTGAGGAGTCCCTCGCCCATCATGGAGCAAAGAGGGTGGGTGTCCGAGAGGGTGGCGACACGATACACTGCGCGTGCCTCTTTCTCTCGAACGCCCACTTGTAAACACACGCAAACAACCAGCTCATCGTCTCGCACATCGTCCACCGCGTTATCTTACAGTCAGACCACCCCACCTGAATGTTCGCACCGCATTAGCAAACCATGTCTGACCTCCCCCCGAGAGGTCGGGGCGCGAGGCCCCCCGGGGCGGTTCCTAGGAGCCGTCGTGGGGGGGACTCGGGCTCCGCCCCACCAGCAATACCACCATCGGTCGCTGGCTCATCGTCCTTTGGCGGTGATGCCTCGCCAATCTCGCCAGACCCTACCTCGACTAGGGCCACTTACTCGACGGTCGTGCCAGCTCGATCTCGCCACACGTTGCCCTGCCGCAGGTCCCGTTCCACCACGGGTTCCGCCCATTTGTCCGCAGATGAGTCTGACTCAGGGACGGCCCAACCCCAGGAGATGGAGGTTGAGGGCACTCAGGGAGGGGAGGAGGTCTCGAGGGACCCCTCCGTTGACCTACTCCTAGGTCAATACGCCTTGAAGTTCCGAGACACAGTCGAGGATCTTCCTGGCAATCTCGAGGTATTGACCACCTCCATTGCGAAGGCCACAGACTGGGTTCTGCAGGCTGCGCACCACAATCCGCTCACCATCAATGGGGGCGATGCCTTCATGGCCCAGATGACGTCCTTCGTGAACGCCATCATGGCCACTGACTTTAGTCGTATTCATGGACCAGGTGAACTCGACAACTTCTCGCTCGCCTCTCTCCTCGAGGCCGAGACATCTTCTAAGGACGAGCCGACCATCTTCATTAGGCCTCCT